GAGTAGAAAATGAAGGCTAATCATGTTTTGGGTGTACTATTCCTTTAAGGGGGAAAATTTGGCAAAGCTACATATTGTTAATTTTTTTCTTTAATTTATCACCTATAAATCAGACTTGGTGACATTTAAAATATTGGTTCCACATGAAAAATATTACAAAAATAGTATTTCTAATTTATATTTTGGGAGCTGGACCTTCTTTTTTTCACAGATCTAATTTCAGGCAGAATTTGCTCGTATGACCTGCTGGGCTTAAGAGGTTAAAGTGAATTTCCAAAGGATTGTAGATGTAGAATAACAGGATATGCCTCCTGTTTCAAAGTTTTTAATCTAAAGGTACCAGGCAGATTGCACGGACTCCCAGCATGCATAGCGGCAGGGGAGGAAGAAACCTCCAGCAGAAGCGGGCGCTTTGAGCGCCCATCTGCCATGACAGAGCTCCGTTTATTTGTCAGGGATGCTAATAAATCTGAATTTAACAGCGATAATTAACAGACAGAACCGCTCTGGCACTCACTCGTCTTCTTGGACGGACCGCCTGCGTTGGACGAGGGGGACGGCGAGTTCCCTCCGCTGTCTCCTCCTGATGAGCCTTTGTCGTCGTTGGACGCGGAAGGACCGGCCGTCACTTTAAAGTCGCAGTTTTCCTTGGATATGCGGAACAGCTCCTGAGGAGGACGTTAGGTACGATGCATTTATTCAGATCAGGCCTCCTCCTCCTCCGTTCTTTGTTAAACATTGATCCTAATTATTTCTTCCCTCCTTTAACCTGAGCGGCGTGCTCGCTCCCACACGCCGCCATACATCAAACACGGAAGTTAATTATCACCAAGCAGTCCCAGAGGATTCACCTCATCTTCAGCAAGGACAGCCATGCCTAATGTGTCCTAAGATTGCCATCTTATTCACATTTAATAGGAGGAGGCAGTAGTTAATCACCCCCCCCGCTGTGCTGTCAGTGTGCTGCGTTCAACCAACTGTTTACTGTGAGAAGGGCGAGTCAACAGCGGCGTCCTACCCTGAGCTGGTGCAAGTTGGTGGCCGTCTTCCAGTCCTTGTCATCGCGGATTCGCGTCATGCGGGGAAAGCGGATGGAGATGCCGTCGGCCGTGTGCATCTCGGATTTGGAGAACTCGGCGCCGGTGATCTCCCAGACCGGCGCTTGCTGCAGGGAGGGGAAAACAGAGGCAGCAGGTGGAGCGTGAATTTAAAAAAAAAGGACATTTGGAGGAACGGAAAGTCTGCAGGATTTTATTACTGAAGCTGGTTCTGAGAAGTTTAAAATAAAAAGGTTTTTTTATCAGGAACCATCTTTGTTCCAACTGAAAGATGCTTTTAGTCTACATTTACGTGCCTTGCATAAACATTCATATTTAAGTTTACAGGATCAAACATTTTAGAAGAAATGCAGCAAAATAAAGATTCTTTTGTTTTCAGCCCTTTTACTCTGATACTTCAAAATAAAACCCACTTATTTGTTGGAAAAGATTAGAGAAGAAACAGCATCATGGTGACAAAATATAACTTCAGAAGTTTGAAGTAGGTTCAGGTTATAAACTAATATAATTCAGCCCTCTGTAGGTTGATAATGTTCATTTCCATCAAACGATGGGTCATCCTTTGTTCCTAACGCATCACCCAGTCCATATCAGGATAAATTTATTTCTCCATTGAGATCTGATGTGTTTTCAAAGTGTTCCTTTAATTGTTTTTTGAGCAGTGTATTTTGACTGCAGCCTTAATTCAGAGTATTGATTTCTAAATGCTGAATAGAGATACTACGGTTTTTAGATTTATTTGTAAATAATCTTAAAACCTTCCAAATGTACCTTCCACTTCATAGATATCCACCATCTATCAAATAAAATCCCAATAAAAACACATTTAAATGAGGTGTTATTATTATTATTATATCATTATTATGTCATTATTATGTGAAGGGGTTTTAAGGGTGTGGATAATTTTTTGGAAGCCATGTATCTCAACCAGATATCTCCAACTCTAGACCTAAAATGTCCAGATGCATCCCTGCTGTGGCCATCTACATGCTGTGGCTCCTCCTCAGCAGGTCTTCAAGTTCCACAGAGATCTGCATAGATCTGCATGTGGAAGCATCTAAAAACTACAGAATAAAGACTGAAGAGGGAACTGGACTCATCTGGACTTCCAACAGGCTGACAGGCAAACGTATGGAAGTAAATCTGTGTCGCTGGGATTTGAATTAAAAATATCACTGAAATGTAAATGTTGTATGTTTGTACTTACTGTTTCAGTGTTAAAATATATTCAGAACACATTTTTGACCTTAAAAAAAATTAATTCATTATTTCTTCACCGTTGAAATTTCATTTATTTTCTCTTCAAGCTAAAAATTCACATTACTATTTCAAAGTGATTA